ACCAAATGTTAGAGGAAATGAATTACGAAAAGTCCAGAATAAGAATGGAGCAAAAGTGGGAGGAGCTCTTTATTAATGCAAATGGTGGGGTTGGCCAAACTTACTTGAAAATGGAGGTTATAAGTTATAAAGCGGTATGGACAAACGGGGAGAGTCGCGGGGGGGTATGTATAGCAATTAGAGAAGAGAAAGAAAAGAAGACCAGGAGGGGATTCACGACATTATTAGTAGTTCCAGCTTGCCCGGGGCGATGTGCCACTTTCCCTTTCCTTCCCTTCCATATCGGGGGTGGCCCGTGCATGGCAGTATCATAAATTACGCCAATACCACTCTATACATCGTGTCTTAGCCGCAGACGGCCTCTAATCTACATGTACATTGTAGAACTGGACTGCTCCACTTCCGATCTCCGAAATCAGGATGGAATCCGATACATTTCGAGTACAATTCACTCCAGTCATAACCCCGTGTCATTGCCCATATGAGTTTGGGTTCGGCCATGCGGGGGTTTGAACGTCCCTTCCGTTGCTCCGGGGTAGCTTGCCCCTCCACGATATTTGACTAAGATGCTGCTCGCCACCTCATTGGGGCGTTTCGAGTCGGGAAGAAACGCTAGTTGGACCGACCACGGCCTAGTTGTTCTCGTGTTCAACCCTTTGTCCGAGTCCAATAGGCGGGGGCCATAATCTTGGCTTAGCCATGGGCCAAGGTCCGGGGAATGTCGCGGGCCAGGGGAGAGCGGGCCACAGGAGGCCTGCAAGTCAGTCACGTCAGTGAGATTCAGAGATACAAGTGTACGACTTATCCTCGAGCCCTTCGAGCTGTGTCCCGCCAAGCCTTCCATGTTGCGTTCGAATATAAAAGACCTACCTCATGCATCCCTTGTATCGATTATGCTACTCAGACCTCGGGAACTCAGTTGGACTTGGATATGTCATAGGATGATGTTATGATGTCACGGGATTTTCGGACCGAGTCTCCCCCATAAAACTTAGTTCGCCATCGAGGCTCATCATGGGACCGGATCGCCGACTTCGGGAGCCCTAGAGAATGTGGGGTGGATGAGTCAGCGCTCCAAACCCGCAATTGGCGCTGTTTGATCGGATGACCATCGTCGTCTGAAACTTTGACATTGCACGTATGTGGTAATCCGGAGGAATCAGGGGGGATTGATATTAAAAGATTAACATGGGCCCACTGTTCGGTTACGAGCTCTATTTGATTTACTCCGTTCCCATGTCGTTACTAGTTATCATAATTATCTTATTGTTATATACGGTTTTATGTATTGTGGGGTAAATGAGGGTGAGACAAAAAGGGGGGGTACCTTGCAGCACTGGGGATTTCGTCTATCTTACTAGCCTTACTACTCGTACTATGTACTACAACATTTGTACTTTGTCCTTTTTCCAGTTCTCAATGTTGAACTGGGGGAAATACTTTAATAAAGATCCTTCTCCTATTCTAGGGGCCCATCCTATCTCTTACCACGAGTCAGGTAATAACTAGCCTGTTCTACGATGTGCATCGTACATTTGACGGCGGGATCTTCGCCCCTCTGTAACTACTGCATGAAGATCTGTGGAATACACGAAATAACCACGCTGTGTAGCTTCTCTGCTAAAACCAAAAGGGCAGTCTAAGATCCACCTTTTCCCACTCATTTCCCAACAAAAAGAACAAACGTGATACCGCACGCTACACCGGGTGATCCGACGGGGTATGAAGCCGTATTGGACGGTAATTACCAGAATACGATCCTGGAAACCCAGCGGGGAGAAACCCAAAACGGGCCAATCAGCGCAACACAATTTTCCATCACCAATATTTTTGTGGGACGAGTTCCCTCAGAGTGCAAGAGTCCCGAGAAAAGACCGCGTTAACTCCATGCCTTGCCCCAACGAAAGACCTCGGGAAACATAGCGAGGTCCAATTCCAATTCCACAAGGAGTCTGTTGAGAAAATGGTCCGCACCGAGGCGGTTGTACAAGCAAAACGGGCAAAATCCTATGCGGCCCTTATCTCTTAAATATACGGACTACCTACAAGTAGACTAACGGTGCGCCACGCGTGGCTTACATCCTTTTCGGACGGGCCCGAACGACTATACGAGCATTATTAATCTCAAAGGTCGCGAGCAAAATCCGAGGAATAGAACGCGGCTAGATCGCCACGGCTCTCAATACTGCCTTGCTAGTCATGTCGATTGCAGGGAGGGGCCGCCCTCTTTAGCCTCGGCATTTGTTCGGTATAGTCGTCAGCCATGTTCCTGGAGGTGAATAATTATCGTCGGTTTCGAATACGCAGTTAAGAGTGGACGAGCGGATCATTGGGCGGAGCAGGGTGCGGAAGATGAAGCCAGTCCTGGCTTGTAGCCCACTATGGCTTACAACATAGCGGCGATCAGCTTATTTTGAGAGGTACAACCTAGGCAGGAGATGAGACCACCTCCCTGTTAGATTCCTGGGGAAGCCATCTCCAGGAAATCCAGGATGTCTGACGAGAATTCCCGAGTCTATCTATACCGCCTTCTTATACAGGTACACCGCCCTTCTTATTCAAGTTTAACTGGTGGACAATAACATTTCCGGCAAAACTATTATCGGGGTGTTAACCTGGAGCGGACCGGGGTAAGGGATATATATAGCCGACAAAAACACGGGGGACTTTCGTCATGGCGTATTCGAACATTCTTGCTTTTATTGTTCAGATACAAAGGTGCCACTTGTTAACCTCAGCACGTTGACTTGAGGATGTTCTAGGGTCTATAGTGGTTAACTACACACACACACCACACTGGTATTGAGTCAGTCCTTTATGATAGGAACAACGTTTAACATTTGCTTAAAAAAAGCTTCAACTCTATACTTCGTCTGCATCTTCCATTTTTGATATGCTTATTTCCAACCCCCTGTAGAGTTGATAGTCATGATAAGAGATATTTGGGTTCGATGTTGCGGGAAGGCGTCCCCCTTGGAACCTGCTTATGATTCTCAGCTTCCACCGTCTGATTGAAATTACAACATTTTTTTCAGTAGACGGCCTGTTTGACCAGTGTCACTCTATCCATAAAATGTACGGCACAAAAGGCGCAACACGCGCCCTTCATTCCAATACCCGGCGGTTCACCACTACCACTCGACTACAAGCACCATCAGGCCTCAAGATCAATCCGGAGCGCCTATGGAACACACTACACGAGACATGTAAATGGGGTGCTGAGCATCGCTATGGCGAGTATGTATCTATTTCCCATTCGGTCATTGAACACAATCTAACGACATAAAAGAAACCCAACAGATACGGGGATGGCTCGTCTCACTCTCAACGATGACGATGCCCGTGTTCGTCGGTGGTTTGCCGCCGAAGTCCAGAAGTTGGGCTGCTCTCTTTCTGTAGACCAGATGGGAAACATGTTTGCGCGGCAATCGGGTCGGTTGAACTCGGCTGCGCCAATGATCGCAATGGGAAGTCATCTCGACACTCAGCCGCGAGGTGGTCGGTATGATGGTATTCTCGGTATTATGGCTGCGCTTGAAATTCTTCGGACAATAAAGGAAAGTGGATTCCAGACTAACTATGATATCGGGGTGGTCAATTGGACCAAGTAAGCATCAAGATTTGTTTTATCGTGCCATTTAAGATTGTCACTAACAAGTCCGTAGTGAGGAAGGTGCACGGTTTCCCAAATCAATGTGTTCCTCCGGTGTCTGGGCTGGTGCTATTCCAATCCAGAAAGCCTGGGACCTGCGTGATATTCACGATCCTAGTGTGACTCTCCGCTCCGAGCTCGAAAGGCACGGATATCTGGGCGAGATTGCTTGTTCCAGCGATCCAGTAACCGGATACCCACTCGGAGCCCACTTCGAGCTTCACATTGAACAGGGCCCAATCCTCCCAGGAAACAACCGATCAATCGGTGTTGTCCGGGGCGCCCAGGGATACAGATGGTTGACTATGACCGTCCACGGGAAAGACGCTCACACCGGAACGACACCTTTCAGTGACCGCCAAGATCCATTACTCGCATCATCTAGGATGATTGCGGCTTCGCACGACATTGCCAAGCGACACAACGCGCTGGCTTCGACTGGTATCATTAGAGTTCCATCGAACGCGTCTACCAACACCGTCTCATCGCAAGTGACTTTCACTCTTGATATCCGACATCCGCAGGATAGCGTGGTACACGCCGTGCAAGACGAGTGCCTCCAGGCGTTTGAGGCTATTGCATTGCAAGATGGCAAGGGTGTGTCCTTTGACTGGACGTTGGATACGGACTCGCCGGCTGTCGAGTTTGACGATAACTGCGTAGCGTCTGTTCAGGCTGCGGCGGATCAGCTGGTTGGTCGTGAGAAATCAATGCTTATGACCAGTGGCGCCGGTCATGATACGGTTTATACTAGCAAGCGCTGTCCCTCTGCGATGATCTTTGTTCCATGTCGGGATGGTGTGAGCCACCACCCGACGGAATATTGCAGTCCGCAGGATTGGTAAGTCTTTCTTGTTTCCCTGGTGCTTTTTCGAAATCTGACTGTTGCAGTGCTCTGGGTACGCAGGCTCTTCTTGAAGCTGTTGTTCACTATGATCAATTCAGGATAGAGGCTGAAGGGCAAAAGTAATCGGTAGTTCAAATGTATCGGCATTAAACTAGACCTAGATTTAACTACGGAGTATTCTATGATAATTTCATCTTTAGACAAAAAGAATATATATCGAGATAAGAAACGCCAAATATCGTTCTTAACGACAGAGGCCACAAATGCCACCGACTATTCTTTTACATTAAATTCCCAAAATATATATCACATACATGTTGCGGTCAACTCGTCCGGCACAGAGCAGACGTCAATATCGTGAGAAGGTGGAGTCCCCACTTAACCTGCCATGTCCGCAGAAGGCGCAATGTCTTTAGAAGGCTCACGATAAGAAATGGTTAGGTGATATATAAAGTATTTGCATTAAGCCCACATCAAATAAGCATATTTACGCCCACCAACATGTCATCACGAAGGTCGATCTACTTCAACCCCGCGGCAGCAAATGAGAGCAGTGTCGCCCCGCAAGTCGAAGGCCTAACAGCATTCCACCAATCCTTCCCGAACTATGCCCCAACCCCATTAGTCCAACTCCCAGAGCTCGCAGCCGAGCTAGGCATCAGCAACGTCCTCGTGAAAGACGAGAGCAACCGGTTCGGACTACCCTCATTCAAAGTTTTAGGCGCGTCATGGGGCTGTTTCCGAGCAATCGCAGCGCAACTGAGCCTGCCCTCTACGGTCTCGCTCGATGAACTCTCCAGCCGAGCAAAAGAAGCCTCGATTGTCTTGACGACAGCATCAATGGGGAATCATGGACGGGCAGTTGCGTTCATGGCTCGCCTCCTCGGTATCGAGGCGCGGGTCTTCGTCCCCCGGTCTTTGAACCAGTGGACTCGGGATCTGATCGCCGGGGAGGGGGCTCGGGTAGTTGTTGTTCAGGGCGATTATGACCAGGCGGTGCAAGAGGCTGTGGATGAGACGCGGATGGGACAGGGTGTACTTCTCATTCAGGACACGGCATTTGAGGGGTATGAGGATGTTCCTGCGTGGATCGTGGAGGGGTATTCGACTATGATGCATGAAGTCCAGAGTGAACTTGCTCGGCTTGGGCTGTCGGGTAGTGTGGTGATCACGCCTGTTGGTGTGGGTAGCCTTGCACAAGCGGTCGCGAAGCATTGCAAGTCGCAGAACACGACTATATCGGTAGTCGCCGTTGAGCCTGATACGGCTGCATGTTTATCTTCTAGCTTGACTGCTGGAAAGCCGGTTACTGTCCGGACTTCATCGACGATTATGGATGGTATGGACTGCGGCACGGTATCTTCTACAGCTTGGCCCGATCTACAGAGTCTGATTGATGCCTGCGTCACTGTCTCATCCTATGAGAGCCACCGCGCCGTGCAGTATCTGACTTCCAAGTCTGTGGCTGCTGGGCCATGTGGAGGTGCATCGTTGGCTGCACTTCGACGATTGGCCACATCAAAGGAGGGAACGTCACTTTTGAACAAGGATTCTGTGGTCGTCCTTCTCAGCACTGAAGGTGCACGCGAGTACCCAGTTCCAAGAGACGTCTCTGTTGACGATGTCGTGGAGCTAACTCAAACTCTCACTCAAATCAACTCTTCCAACCTGACCTTGTCTGTAACAGACGGAGTAGGTGAGACTGAAATCGCAAACTATCTGGCCGCCTGGTTCGCCCATCGAGACATTGAGTATCATTGGATTGAGAAGGTCGCTGAACGGCCATCTATTGTGGGAGTCTTGAGAGGCAGCGGCGGTGGCAAGTCTCTCATGTTCAATGGCCACACAGACACCGTCAGTCTCTCCAGCTACGAGGCAGATCCCCTGTCCGGGTCAATTGGAACCAAGAATGGCAAAGAGGTCATCTTCGGCCGGGGTTGCCTCGACATGAAGGGAGGGTTGGCTGCAGGGTTAGCGGCTCTTGCAGCAATCAAAGCAAGCGGTCGCGTACCTCGGGGCGATATCATTCTAGCTGCAGTATCAGACGAAGAGGATGCCTCACAGGGAACTCAGGATGTGCTCGAGGCTGGCTGGCGTGCTGATGCCGCTGTACTTCCAGAACCAACGCAAGGCGCGATATTTACTGCCCATAAGGGATTCGTGTGGGTTGAAGTTGATATCCTCGGAGTTGCTGCCCATGGATCTGACCCTGTATCAGGAGAAGATGCCATCCTATATGCCGGGTCCTTCTTGCAGGGTTTGGAGGAATACCAAGCGCAGCTGCCAGTAGATGATCTCCTAGGACAGAGTTCGCTACACTGTGGCCTAATTCGGGGTGGCGAAGAGCCATCGTCCTACCCAGACAAGTGCACTATCACTGTCGAATTCCGAACTGTCCCAGCACAAACGGAACAGTCCATCCTAAGAGACATCAGCGCGCTGCTGAAGGAAATTGCCCAGCAGAAGCCTCGTTTCAGATACGGCGAGCCACGTATTACCATGTCGCGCCCTACACAGAAAGTGGCAGCTGATCATCCGTTCGTGCAAAAAGCGATTTCTTGTGCCTCTGATGTTCTGGGCAGCAAGCCTGCTGTTAAGGCTGGTCCGTTTTGGACTGATGCGGCCTTGCTTGGTGCTGTTGGTATCCCATCCATTGTGTGGGGCCCGGCAGGAGAGGGTCTTCATGCTAAGGAGGAATGGGTCGAAGTTGAGAATCTTCGACAGTTTGAGAAGGTGTTTACTCGGCTTGTGCAGGACTTTTGTTATTGAATATAGACGTCTGTATGTAAATACTGTTTAGAAGAACACACATAGATTATTTTTCAAAGTTTCCCTTGTACCTATCTCACAACATTCCAACTGGAAATACTACCTACTACTGCCTCGTGCATTTGATAGTCTTGTAGTCGGATAGATCGTGGTCGTAGTCCTTGCGATCATTGCTACAGTCGGTCTGACCGTCTTTCGTCAGCCGTTCACCTCCTTTCGGTACTTCTCGTAGGTACTTCACGTCGTTCTGTTTAGTCGCTCTAGCTTCGTAGGGATGGTAGGTCGCTTGCTTTCGTCGAGGTTTGGATGAATATAATCCTAGTTGCCGAGGTTTTCGGTAATTGCTACCACCTATTCAAACTAATACAGCCCAAAGAAAGTATTGATAAATGGGATTATTCAATAGAGACAGTCAAACGTGGTACTAGTTGATTCTTGTAGAGCAAGTGTTGTGTTGTGGCTGGTGTTCTTATCGCCACGGGACTACACAGCCAGAGCCGATCCAGATCGGCCACCTTCGCCTGACGACATCCCACTCAAAATCGGCTAGCACATCCATCTCGTTGTTTCCATTCCAAGCAAATTAATATATATTTTCTTGGAGATCCCGCAACGATGGCAGACGAATCACCAGCACAGCGATCCGCACGAGTGCGCCGAGAGCGCCGGGAGGCAAAGATCAAGGAAGGAGGATCAGCACGTCTGGACAAAATCACCAGTCTGAGTGGACGCACGCCACAAGCTGGTAAGAAATGAAATTTCCATCCCCGGCTCTAGCCAAAGAGCTCCCGATAGCAAAGCAGACATACAATCCCTTCAGCCTCGCCAGTACAAACAATGCTAACTGAAATCAACTACAACAGACCGCGACGAAGCCTCCTCCCCCCAGTCCAAGCACGCAATCCCTGAATCTCCCTCCCCAGGACCTCAAACCCCCCAGCTCGGACTCTCACCCTCGCCCCAACCAGACCTGCAGTCCCAAGAAGCGATGCGCGCCCAGCAGCAAGCGTTCTTCTCGATGCTCCGACAATCCGCACCGGAACCCAACCAGGGCATGCATCCCGACCCACAAGCGCCAAACAGCCTCCAGGCCCAACAAGAAGCCTTCCGCACGATGCTGAGACAAACCACACAAGACCAAGGACCGGACCAACTACCCGACGGCGAAGACCCCACCATCAAGCTCCTGAACTCCCTCATCGGCGCTATACCCGGCGGTGACCCGAATACCCCAGGAGCACCCCCAACAGGCGCAGGCGCAGGAAACCCACTTACACCCGGATTCTCGCCCGCCGGCATCGCAACCATGCTCGGTGTGCCGCCTTTCCTTGCCAATATGTTGAATGGAGCGCCGCCGCCTACGGAGGCGGAGCAGAAGCGCGCTCGGATCTGGAAGACGCTGCATACCGTTTTTGCTGTGACGGTTGCTGTGTACCTGCTTTTCATTATTGGGTCTTCGGTTGCGTTGTTCGGTAGTCCGCCGCCGAAGCCTGCGACCGTGCAGAATCCCTTTGCTATCTTTGTGACGGGGGAGTTGATGTTGACTGGGGGCAAGGTGTTGCTTGGTGGGAAGTCTGGTGGTATCGGGATGGCGGTGCAACTTTGCAAGGATGTCGTGAGGGATGGTAGCCTCCTGCTGTTTATCCTGGGCATGGGGACTTGGTACAATCGCGAATGGCAGACTACGGTGTACTAGATGGCTTGAGTATGTGCGGAGTAGCTTCGTTAATGATCAGCGGTATGAGCATTTCAATGGGATATATTTTGTGATCATTATTTCATTATTCGTATGTTGTATATCTCTTTTGATCGACGCTAAGCAGACATGTTTAAGGCCCGCTGAGACGGCGGGACCGCATTACGTAGAACACGCAAGGCCGATGCATCTAAACCCCAATCACCTTCCCATTGATCCATACGGGCTCCTTTCTTGAAATGACCCGCCAGATGCTCCGCCCGATCTGACCAGGTGGACAGCGAAGATCCACAGAATCCGCAGCGGCTTTCGACGTTGGCGGTCGATCCACGCCAGGCTTCGAGGTCAGCCACGGGGGCTTTCGTGCAACCGTGGAATTTGCGCAGATGCTGCCATAGATAATCCTTTCGACTGAATGACCGCTCCTGAGTAGGCTTATCGGCACAGACTTGGAATTCATGCTCTTCCCAATGGGCGAACGTTGGGAAAAGGACGTCGCAAAAGGGACATTCTGAAAACTGGCGTTCGAACGCTTGTTGGACGTCGTGGGGATTTGGAGTGCAGACCCAGGAGTCAAGGGTGAAATGGACACTTTTCTCGTGGCGGGCCCAGTCGTGTTTCTTCTTGAAGGACTGTGGGCAGAATGTGCACTGGAAGGGATGGTCTACCGCCGTTCGTTGCCGTCCTCGGGTGCGTCTGAGTTTAGTTTGTTTGGGGAGTAGTGGAAATGGCAGCCCCGTGTCCGCTGAGGAATGGTAGCTCCATGCTGAAGAGGCGCTATCGGATGTTTCAGATACCTTGCTCCCGATGCTGGATACTGATGACGCTAAGTGGGACGAGCTCTCATCAAAATTGAAGAAATCCATGGTAGATATGTCGAGCTGCAATGGGTCGATGCTGTCGGCCGAGTCTATCGAGCCAGAGGAAATGGCATTTTGAATAGCCGCTTCTGGAATAGGTTCATCTTCTGGCGGCGAAGCCCGCCATCGCTCCATTGGGGTCAGGGAGGACAGCGTGCTGGTGACCATGGGAGACCCCGAGCGAGTACGGGACGTGGAAGCAAGACCCGCAGCCTGGATCTTTTGCTTTTGACGGCGGCGGGCGTTTGCAAACCAGGTTGATATGCGTTTCTGGGAGAACCCCGTCTCGTGGGCCATCTGATTTTTTTGTTCGTCCGTTGGATAAGGATATTCTTGATTTTGATAGAACCACTCGCGGAGAACTCTAGCTCCTTTTCTGAGAAACTGTTTGGGTTCTTTTTGTTGATGGCCATTGTCCATAGTGGTAGCGGGAAATGGGTTTCCATCTTCCGGGACACCGTGGAGATGACCAAAGACAGGAGAGAAAGTTTCAAATCCCGACGGTTGGCGTTTCTCTCCCTTTGCTAAGCTGCATTCTCGAAAAAGGGCTACACAACTTGAGCAGGAGTTCTTGGGATTGGGATTGGCAGGTGCAGTGCGAATTATCAGACACTGTAGCCGATGCCTGCGACAATGGGCACATGATACAGGAGGACGATATGCTCCATCCAGCCACTGCGAGACATTTGTAAGACTTCGTTGCGAGGATGGGCCAACAGATTCTCTTGCTAAAGAGGGAGCGGAATCATAGACAATTTCAGAAGCCTTCAATTCCTCATGATCTTGATGTCCAGGTTGTGCATTGACGGTTTGTGTGAGGTGTGACTCATAATTCGTCCACTGCGACCATTCCAGATCACTGGTATCTGAGGGAAACGGGAATTGGTAGTCAGTATTTGTATCAAAAGAACTCTCTTTGCCCCATTGGGTGGGCTCAATTTCACCCAGCAAGCCCTCCAGCTCTATGTCTGATAGAGGCTGCGACAACGGCTGCCATGGTGAAGGGTTGATCGATGGCGACCGTGGAGTCATGCCATATATCGATGAACAGATTCGCCGGCACAGTGCCCCTTCTTATATATCTCTAATCCCAAGCCCACAAGTAGTTTGGCTAGAACCCGTCGCGTTTATGCTTCGCAGTGATCTGCCAATATGATGGGGTCGTCAACAAGTCCACGCTAATCCAGATTAGGCCAGGAACGTTTCTCTCCGCACTAGTCCTAAAACGGCAGGTGCGCACTTGCCCAGATGAGTTGTGCATATTACTAAGCTTTCCGCCCCCGAGGCCCGTGGACGAATCTCGGGAACAACCATTGGATCCGCCCTGCATCTCGGGGTCTGTGACCTCGTGTTTCCTGCGCCTACTCAGACTTCTCTAGAGTTGCCTTGCCGACTACTTCCTATCTATCTCCATAAATCCTTCGAGGTTTCAGATTACGCACGAGGTTGTGATTGTCCAAAGTTCCTGGAGTCCCATCCTTCTACCATCATCGTACTTGGTTGTACCTAACCGAGCACAATTGAGCAAATCCCGAAGAGATGGCATGTTTGGATGGAACAATCCCAATCTCATGGTCTAGCCTCCAAAGATGTGTTTGTTCCTAGGCGGCTCCAATAAAATTCTATGGAAATCGACTCGGAACGTTGCTTATCAGAATTAAGCTTATCTTGATGTTATTGCAAGACCAAACACTTAAAGCTTGGTTCACATAGAATCCGTATTAGGCAGGACGCTAAGTGAACTCTATGCTGTGGGGGATAAATAAACGAATTGGAACGGGCGGAGAGGTTGATATGGCATTGATGACAGTACAACGGAGCCAGAGATAGGATATTAGACCCGGGGTAGATATGGAGGAATATGTACATAACGCGACTCCACAGTGGGCCGCACCGGAGTTGGCCTTATCGTCCGTAGTTCGGACGGGGGCGTTTTTTAGTCGCCACTCGGTGAGAGCGCCAATTTATTTAGCGAAAACTCGGCATGCACCCGATTCCCGGTGAAGATCTAGTCTCGGGAAAAAAAAGGCTATCTGATATAAAATTAAAGCCACAATTCGCAGCCTCTTCAGACGTACATCGATCGGTGTATACAACCTTCTCCAGCGTTCCCCAGCAAATAATAAACCTTAATAACATGACTGGCCGAGCGCTAACAGTTTCTATGTGTCAACGATCAGGCAATTTACGCTACAATGTAGTATCAAGTGGGACTGGGGGTGGAACTGGGGCAAAACTAGCTTTCATGAGCAATGAGCTGAATTTCCATAACCAAATAGAATGAGTCAGCAAGGCACTTCCGGCACCGACATTGGCCACACGCTGGTCAGATCTCCGGATTCGGTCCGACCTGAGACAGGTCATTGGTGAATTCGTCGCGTTGCATCGAATTTTCTGTGGAACCTTCCATTTAGTCCTACGGGGCCGAATTTCTCTCGCGAGAAAATGGGGAAACAATAAGATGGCCAGAATTCCCGCCTGGGTTTGTTTCTTTCCTCGTGGGCTTTAAACATTTCTTCTCCATCTTCAAGACTTGAACTACACACAATGGAGGTCAACACAGCACCACCCGTCTATGAGAATGACAAGATCGCAGAACGGAAAGATGAATTAACATACGAGGAGGAGGGCCCCATCAAGACTGGCGAAGTCCACGATGCCTTTGGCAACGAGGAGTACGCTGACATCAAGTATAAGACCTTGAAGTGGTGGTATGTACTATCGTTGGGAAAAGAGCCTCTCGATTGACCGTGCTAACACGTCTTCAGGCAATGTGGCTTGCTCATGATCTGTGAGTCAGTCTCACTGGGTGTGTTGTCGCTGCCAGCAGCCATGGCTACCCTGGGTCTCGTCCCCGGTATCATTCTGATTATCGGCCTCGGACTTCTCGCAACATACACTGGCTACAATATTGGCCTCTTCCGTGAACGGTATCCTCATATCCAGAACCTGGGTGATGCGGGTGAGATTTTGCTAGGCCGCTTCGGCCGAGAGCTCTTTGGTACTGGCCAGTTCCTCTTCTGTATCTTCGTCATGGGCAGTCACATCCTTACCTTCCGTGTCATGCTGAACACCCTCACCAACCACGGCACCTGCTCCGTTGTGTTCAGTGTCGTCGGCATGGTTATCTCAATTCTCCTGTCCATGCCCCGTACGATGAAGGGTATGACCTGGATATCGTTCCTATCATTCCTCAGCATCTTGAGCGCCGTGATGATCACTATGATTTCCGTGGGTGTCGAGAAGCACCCCGGTCGTGTCATCCACGCCACAGTCCCCAACGACCTGTACACTGCTTTCCAGGCCGTTTCCAACATCGTCTTCGCTTACTGCGCCCACGTTGCTTTCTTCGGTTTGATCGCCGAAATGGAGACGCCCCAGGATTTCAAGAAGTCCTTGTTCATGCTTCAGGGCTTTGAGATCTGTCTCTACCTGACCGCTGCTATTGTGATCTATTTCTACATTGGCACAGACGTGCATTCCCCTGCCCTCACTTCCGCAGGACCCCTGATGAGCAAGATTGCCTACGGCATTGCTATCCCCACCATTGTCGGCGCCGGTGTCGTCAACGGCCACATCGGCTTGAAGTACATCTACTTCCGCCTCTGCTCCAAGTCCGGTCTGATGCACCAGAACAACAAGCGTGCCGTCGGTCTCTGGATCGGTCTTGGTATTGCTTGCTGGGTCGTTGCGTGGATCATCTCCGAAGCCATTCCTGTCTTCAGCGACCTGAACAGTTTGATCAGTGCTCTGTTCGCTTCATGGTTCAGTTACGGTCTGTCCGGTATTTACTGGCTTCACCTCAACTATGGTCAATGGTTCTCCTCTCCCCGCAAGATCGCCCTTACCGTCCTCAACATCTTCATTGCCTGCATTGGTTTGGTGCTGTGCGTTCTTGGCCTGTATGCTTCTGGTACGGCTATCAACAAGAACTCCAACAGCAACAGCTTCACCTGTGCCGACACGGATACTTAGATGACCTTCTTGCTTCTTGTTTCATAGCGCTAGACCTTGTTAACGTTACACGCCCTGTATATATACTGCATATAGATTATGCTCGGAGCGCACTGGCTGACTCTAGAATATAAATAATTGATTAAAAATTCTCAACTATCTTGCTTGTCCTGATTGTAGTTAGATTGTATCATAAGAGCAAGAGAGGTGATCCTTACCATACCAGAATTCGGTATATAGACCTGCTACCTATAGATATGGAAGTCTTCCAATGGTAACTAGCTCTAAGCGATTGACCTTGAATACAGGTTTCGTTATATACTCATATTTTATAGCAATGTTCACTTAATACATGGTCTGTGAAGCCTATTCTATTCCAATTCAGCATCGGGCGTGGCTGAGTTTGCTTGGATGTAACTAGAAAAGAGATGAAAGAGGTTAGAAGAATAGCAAACATGGCGTGTTAGAAAGAGTCTCTAGATACTTTGAAGTTTATGTTGAAGAAGTGACTAGGAGTTGACAATGAGATGAAAGCTCTTCTATTGAGCAATGTTTGCTAAAGCCGGTCATTCTCACTCTTTCTAAGTCTACACCTACAACTGCCACCGTGACCTTCAATCCCCCTCTACTTCTTCTCTCCCTCACACTTATCCTTCCTCTCTTCTTTCACATTTACCTCAAGTCAACAATCATTCCTTTTAGAGTGAGAGGTGACATTCATCACTCAAAATTCAACAGGACAGTCCACCAACAGGAGGTAATATTTACCATCAAAGCGTCTCTCAAAACGAAGACGATGATTTACCTCAACTAGGTGTACCGAGATGGATTCCAAAACACCTCAGATCTCGCCGGCATTAGAAACCCTACCATTTGAAATTCGACGTCATATTCTTTCTATGGTTGAAATCGACAGTCTCAAGACCCTCGTGCGAGCCTCTCCTGTTTACTTTCACCACTACCAACTAGAACGCAAGCTCTTGCTGTGTTAAAGCCTGGAGTCGACATTGGGTAGCGTGACTGCTGATGCCTATGCAGTCCACAAGTCTACTTCCATGGAATGTTCAAAAGGACGGGATAGCAAAGGAATTGATGATTTTCTGACATCCTACCACACAATGAGGTCTCAAGCCTGGCTTTCACCTTTCCACAACATTCTCATCATGGAAGAGGTCGAGACAATGGTCAAATTTCATTGCTCGATTGTTCAACCCTTGATGCGATGCTTTGTGAGAGAAGCATTGACTAATCTCACCGAGAAGACAAACGAGTCTCAGATCTCAGATCGAAGAGACTCCGAGTACAACAGAAGAGACAAAACTGATGCGCGGGTTTTACCGATTCCAACTCTGTTGCAACATCTATGGCCTCGAATCGGCGGAATCTATCCCCTATGTTAGCTGGATTTCTATCTCCCAGCGCATTCTGGGAGACTTCTTGTGCATCTTTGACCCTTGGGAGGCAGAAGAGATATCTTGCGTCAGTTATTTCTGCGAAGAAAAGTGCGAGCAGATCTTCGATCAGACCAAACAGGGCCTGGATGAAGAGAACTCCGGAATCGATCAACCTGACATATCCGATATTGCTAGCCCATGTGAGTAGGAACCCACTAGTTTTGAAGCTCGCAATTTGAGCTCTATGTGCGGGTCTGAAAATAACAATTTTGGCTTTGAAGCAACAGCCAAGTTGACCAGGAATCGTGGCCTCGAGCTGCTGCACTTGGTATACCCCATCAAAGACCAGGACCACTTGGTAGTTACGAGGCAGTTGCCCCCACCCATGCGCCCGAGCGGCGTTCTCAGTGATCTCCACAGCGTCTTCGAACAACACTTACAATGGCATCGACACTGCGTTCACCCTGGGGAACGCGACCATCGACAGGAGCGCCGTGAGCCGCTCATTTTCCAATGTGACAGGAAACCCGATGGAAGTTGCGCGCTCCCACCGCTGGCCTGGACGATAATATGGGGTGGAAGTTACAGTAATCTCTTTGGGGAGTACATCCCCGACGCTTCATGTGAATGGGCATGGGTTATGTGGGACGCAGATCGACTTAAGCGAATGAGTGCTTTGGGGGTGATTATACAGGAATGGGAGAAGGAGCATCATGATGACCCTAGGAAGGATTACTTGTGACCGGCACTCTATGAGGCGATGTCGATATCGGCACACACGACGATCTGCCTACTCTTTCTTATTCTCAGCCTCACTCCTATCGTCTCTCCTATCATCATCATCAAGATTCCAAAATCAAGATGTCGCGAATCAGTGGAATTGCATCTTCCCTTTATGTCCCTTTATGCCTCAAAATCATCAATGATGGGCAGACCTATTACGACTTTGACGCCATCCAGCCCCGAGGGCGAGTCGGTCATGTATGGTGTTTGGAACTCTATCCTTACCTGGCAATTCTACTTGCCCGCATCACAGCCTCCAATTCAGCTCTCGTGGCTTTTCGGATTTCGAAGTGCACTAATATATTTCTCTGGTTGTGCAATGCAAGTGGGAATTCGGTAGTTATATATGGGACAGTCCGAGAGACCAACTGGAAAAATACCTTCAACCGATTCATGGCGATTCTGAGTCCAGTCCTACCATCCACGGAATTGTGGCCATTGGAGAATGAGTCAGATCTACGAGTACGACAGTATCTTGTGCAAATGGCTTCATCCAGCTACATAACTAGCTCTCTCTGTTTGTTTGTATAATCATTCGGGCCCGAAATCCTTCTTTCTCTCCCGGTTTTCTGAGCCTAGCATCAATATTAATGGAGCCGACGTGGCCACCATACTAAGGGTAGTTGAAGATTAGAGTCTGGAAAGATCCAATCACAATGTGTCATTCTCAAGCTACATAATCCCAGAAAGCGAAACCCCCTCGGCTAGTTCATCTGTCCCATCAGTATGTAATGGTAACATTCTTGTTCAAATACTTCGCGTCTATCTTCAAGACAAGGTTCTCAGCAAGCCACCCCCCCGCATCCTCCCGGGAGATAGTATAGCCAATAGCCCTACACTCAGGACCAGTCTTGGGATCCTCGATGCCCACACGGATAGTCTTGTCCGACTCGCCATCAACAAGGTGGCTCGCACGAATGATTGTGAACGATTCCCCGCTCTGCGCGAAACGGTCTTCCATGACTACCTTGTCTGCTCCGGGGACGCTGACAAACAGGTAATAGATGGGTATCATAACAAAAGGAACGTCGCGGCCGAAGCGCGAGAATCCCGCTGTACTGCACCCAATTATGTGTGGAGTTCCCGTAATGCCGGCGCTTCGAAGCTGGGCGAGGGCATTTAGGATAGTTGCCGCGCCTTTCTTGCATACGTCTGGATCGTCGACGGTCATTCTGCGTGGCTTCGCACCTATGGTAGACACAATGACATCGACGATGTGGCCATCGTCGGTTTGGAGGCACTGCGATACGGCGGAGATATCGTGTGCATTGCCCTTGATGACTTTCAGATTTGGTGTTGACTCTGAAGGGAAGATGGTTGTGAGTTTCGAGGGATCACGGCACAGCGCAATGCATTTGTGGTCCGCAGCGAGGGTGCGTTTGAGGGCAGCAAGGCCAACGCCGGTGCTGGCGCCAAAGAATGCAACGGACTTGGTTTTTGAGGTCATCTTATGGGCTGTGGTTGTGAAAGTAGCGAGATATTGGAAGGCTATCCTCTGATGTTGATAGTGGAGGCGAGCTGGATGTTGTTCCTAGTGTCTTGGAAGGGGCGATGGGCTTCATAATATACATTTTGGCTGACAGCAGAAAGCGAAAAATATCCGAGCCAACGCACAATGCCTCGCTATTTTCTCGCGACTTGCGACTCGCAACTCGTATTACAATGAGGGGGAGAACACGAGGCTAACCAAATGAGGCGGAAATGCCGTTCTCTCGTTGGTTGTCGCTCAACCTACACTACTGAGTCAGACAGCCAACTCTTCCAGGCCTTACCATTTGCCTAACGAGATCAGGATAATGAAGGTTTTGCTTGATCCCTGTCTGATTGATCACTCACTGGAACAAGCCCATCACGGTCCCAGGATGCCCGAGGAGCCTCCTGTCACGGGGGACGCGCTCGCTTCGGCCTCGGATGCCGAGAAAAACGCGAGTTTCGACGCCTCAGGCAGAAACACAACATCGCCGAAGCCGCGCAGCTGCGTTGTATGCCGAAGTCGGAAAGTCCGCTGCGACAAGCGAGCGCCTTGTTCCAATTGCCGTCGCGCAAATATCGCTTGTGTACTTCCACCAACAGACCGTCCGCCAAGATGGGCTCGCCACCTCGACCGCCTCAACAGCGCGGTATCCAACCTACCGGCCTTCCAAAAACCCGAAGAAGACGTGATGGAGAAACTTCACAACCTTGAAAGCCTTGTTCAGGAGCTACGGATTCAGCTGGAACAGGCTAAATCAGCAGCTAACTCTGCCGAAGGGTCATCCGGGGTTGGTTCGCCTGAAAGCTCCGCGCATGATCGACAGTCGAACCCATCTTCCATTAATACTGCCAGCGTGCAAAATAAATTCGGGAGACTGGTGCTTCGGGATTCAAACCGAAGCCGCTATGTTAGCAGTGGCTTCTGGTCTCGGGTCAATGACGAGGTATGCCGCCTTGGTTTGTTATGGAGTGAATGGCGAGTTAACTCCTACTCAGCTTGATGGCCTCAGGGCTGATGTTCGTGATCTTCCATTAGGGGAACCCGATACCTCGGACGATGAGGCATCGCAGGAGATGGTCCCTTCTACACAAGAACTTGAACGGACCCCTGGAGAGCGTCACGGATTCTTGTTTGGGCATAATTTGAGTCCTTTTTCTTCTAACCTAAGTGACCTTCATCCACTCCCTTCTCAAATTCCGTTCCTTCTAGACGTGTTCTCCGAAAATGTGAACATTATCTTTCAAATAGTTCATCTTCCCACCGTCAAGAGCATGGTTCGCGATTGGCGCGGCCGTGAAATGAAGGATCTCACATCGGCCAATGAAGCATTGATGTTCGCTATTTACTACGCTGCTATTACATCGATGGAAGAAGAAGATGTAAGTCAAATTAGATTTTGAACTTTCGGACGGATCCAAGCATGCGGGCTCACGTCTCGGGACATTTAGGTATTACTTAATTTCGGAGCCACCAAAGCCGAGCTCAATCTCAAATATCGCCAAGGCCTCGAACATGCTCTTGCCAGAGCTGATTTTCTGAATGCACCTAAGCTAGTCCTAGTGCAGGCATTTGTAATCTTTCTGTATCTTGCTCGCCGACATGACAGTCCGAGGTTTGTGTGGATGATGACAGGACTAGCGATCCGAATGGGCCAAGCTCTGGGACTACATCGTGATGGAACACATTTCGATTATCTTAGCCCATTTGAGATTGAGATGCGGCGAAGAGTCTGGTGGAACCTTTGCATTTTGGATGTGAGAGCATCCGACGATCAAGGAACAGATTACACAATCACAGGAGCGAGCTTCGATACTATAATACCTCTGAATCTCAATGACATCGACCTCGACCCCGAATCAAAGCAGACACTTCAAGCTCACGATGCCTTGACTGATATGTCAGTTGCACGTGTCTCCTTCGGCATGTGCGAGGTCACGCGGCAGATGATGGGTCATGGTTTCAAAGAAGCAGCACCAAGTCTAGAAGAGCAAAGTCGCTTATTGCAAAAAATAGACCAAGGTCTTCAACGGGACTTTCTCCAATACTCAACCGAATCAGGGAACATTACATACTGGGTGATAGTTACGGTCGCTCGGCTTCTTATGGCCAAAATGACTCTGCTTATCTACCTGCCTCTGTTGTTCTCCTCCTCGAATGAAGACTTCTCGGAGGAGCTGAGAACAAAACTGCTGGTTTCCAGTATCGAGGTCGCCGAGTACAATCATGCCCTGAACAATGAACAAGCATGTAGACACTGGCGCTGGGCTTTCCAAACCTATACCCATTGGTACTCTATTGTCTACATGATGCTTGAAATCTCTCGGCGCCCGTGGTCGCCTCTTTCTGAACGGGCCTGGGTAGCCCTTCACAGTGTCTGGCTAATACCGAACCAGACACACATGGAAAGGGATTTCCGCATCTGGATCCCACTCCGAAAGCTGATGACCAAGGCTAGGAAGCATCGCGATATGGAATTCGGGCGACTGAGAAGCGACTCTCAAGCTGTCCAACAGCTGAAGCAGAGCTATTTTATTGCTCCACTCCCGTCGAGCACTGGGCCGTTTCCATCTGATTCAAATTCTGCAGATCTGTTCCTTGACCAATGGCTCCAGCTAGTGGCACAACGGGATAGAACCAAAGATGAAGCACTCACATCAGGGCTCGCTATCACTAATACGTCGAATCCACCGATGCAAAATACAAGCACAACGCAGTCAAGGGTGCGTTCTGCTCCCAATTTATCTCAAACATTCTCCTCGGCTTTCACCGTTGAGCCAGAGTATCTCGTTGCAGAAGAACGGCATTTCGGGTACGAAGTATCAAGCAGTGAATCTACAAACTTCGACTCAGTCATGGCGTCTAATGCAGGACTCGGATTCGGACCCGAAAGCTCTGCTACTTCATCACATAATCACTTCTCAATGGCAACGGAAGCTCAATTTGACGGTCAACTTGCCACCCCAGCTGTTGTACCTTGGCTGTGGTCTGAGAAGGACATGTCAGCTGATTTAAATAGCATCTCCGAAGATCAAGCCGGGAGTAACATGGGCATGGATGAGGAGGTGGATTGGTACAATTGGGCCGCGTCTGCGAAGGATATGGAGTGTGATATGGTGAATTATAGTAGTGGACCACGCTAGCCTCCAGTTATACGCGGGGCTGCTGGTATCCACCTCGGTTGTACCTTGATTCTGGCATTTTCCTTCCTTAAATAGGTTATTGGTTCTGGTAACAGATTCTCGATCTGATAATTCGTTCTAACGCCTTCCGAGAATGTGGATCTTGATGGTGGATATTTGACGGAGAAACTGACCAATCAAACGAGCCCAGCGACCATCGGAGCATATATGCGCGTGGACGTAATACGAATCAAGTATCTAAGGAGTATCAAAAGTAAAGAAAGAACATCAAAAGCTAGAGGGTTTACTGTGCTCAAAATGGTGAGGCTGAAGAAATTGATGCCAGGTACCTTTTGTATGGCCCACACCCCGCAAACCTGAGAAAATGGATTGGATTCATCCAATTCCCCTGAACCCCGCCAAGACCCGGGGCTTGGGTAACGTGGCTGAGTGTCCCGAGATCGGACCTCGAGGCCTGATAGGTGGCCAGGTGAGAAGCTCGCTTCGAGAAAATTCTAGTGCCAGTCTTGCAATAACCTTGGAAAGCTAAAAGCGCCACAGTTGGATTTTACTTTCATGCACAATTACTTTAAATCTTCGAGCTCCTCATGAGAACTGGTCATTTTAGAGGAAAATTGTAGAATCTGGGGTTGAACATGGGGTAAACCTAATACATAAAGCCTTGACTAACAGTTTCCAATAGCGTTATCACTAAGGAGACAATGCTCGGGGCCGCCGACTTACCATCCGGGGTGGTTCTATATTGCACGCCGGGCCGGGTGCGCCGGGCCGGTACAATCTGACGCCGGGGGCGCATACCGCCTACGGAATTGGCTCGCGGACGCCAAATACCCCACAAACCTGGCATCGGTCAAGATATTAGGTAATCATTCCCCGGTGTCGCGAGCCAAACCCATGAACGCATTCTTCAATGCCATCCTCGAAGTTGCGATCTCATTGGCGATTTACCCCGGAGAACACCCCGGAGTAAATTTGAGCGAGTTCGGGATTTGGTAATGACTCGTCTCCCCACACTCACTAGTATATCAATTAGTAGTACTCCATACTATCTGGTAATGGAATATTCTGTTAACCTTTAGTCTCTCACGCCAAGCAAAGACTCTGGGCCAACCGTTCTTTTTGGGCCTCCACTAGCGATTTTCGGTGTTTTTTCTTTCGCCCAAAAGTTTTTCTCTCTTCACTTCTCCATATCATATACCTTCCAACATGAGTGTCCCCGAAGCACCCCATCCTATTCAGGACTACGAAGTGTACAATGACTCAACCGACATGGAGAAGAAGGCGTACCCGGTCGACCCCCCGGATGATCCCTTTGGGAACGAAGAATCTGGGGAAGTAAAGTATCGTATTATGCCATGGTGGTCAGTATCTCACTCTGTTTACTATTTTTATTGCATCAAAGAGCACATTTCTGACTTTTATATACAGGCAAGCTGGAACGTGTGAGAGCCCATCATTAACCCTAGTCAACAGGAACCCCATTCTAACACTGTTCATGTAGTGATGGTTGCTGAAAACATTTCGCTGGGTATTCTATCTCTTCCATCCGCAGTAGCAACCCTCGGAATCATCCCGTAAGAAAATTTCTACCTCCACGATGCAGAAAGAAGGCTGACATCTCCCAGAGCATTTGTCATTATTATGTTTTTGTCCGCCATCTCGTGGTACACTGGATACACCATGGGCCAGTTCAAGCAGCGTTATCCCCAGGTCCACAGCATGGGCGATGCGGGCGAGCTTCTTCTAGGCCCTATCGGACGCGAGATTTTCTTTGTCGGCCAGCTGCTGTTCATCATCTTCTTGATGGCCAGCCACATTCTCACATTCTCGGTGTTGTTCAACACCATCACGAACCACGGTACCTGCACTATTGTATTTGGAGTTGTCGGCTTGGTCGTCAGCTGTGTTGCGGCCCTCCCGCGGACAGCAGAGAAGGTCTTTTGGATGTCCATCATCTCTGCCATCAGTATCCTGGTAGCCACTATCGTCACGATGATTTCCATCGGTGTGCAGGCGCCCTCTGATGTCCAGAACGATATCGTCGCGACCCCGACCTTCCAGGAAGGCTTCTTGGCGGTTACCAACATCGTCTTTGCCTTCATTGCTCACGTGTCTTTCTTCGGTATCATGTCGGAGATGCAGGATCCCCGCGATTTCCCCAAGGCCCTCGCTATGCTCCAGGTTATCGATACTACTATGTATGTTGTGACGGCTATGGTAATCTACTGCTATGCGGGCCCGACTGTCGAGTCTCCGGCTCTATCGTCGGCTGGACCTATAATGAAGAAAGTTGCCTATGGCCTGGCAATCCCAACGGTGTGTTATATCTCCTTGCAGTCGATTCGGGAGTCTGTTCTAATCTCTGATAGGTCATTGTTGCCGGTGTTGTTTTCGGCCATGTTGCATGCAAGTACATCTATGTTCGAATCTTCCGCGGCGATCGCTCCCACCACATGCACCAGAAGACTTTCTTGGCTACAGGTACATGGGTCGCGATCGGCCTGACTACCTGGACTGTTGCGTGGGTCATTGCAGAGTCCATTCCAGTGTTCAACGAGTTGTTGAGTTTGATTGTATGTTCTATACTCATTTATTACCGTGCGTCTACTAAGTTGTTATACAGAGTGCCCTATTCGGAAGCTGGTTTAGCTGTAAGTCGACTTCTGAGACTAAGATTGATGCGAAATAGATTACTGACTGAGAACAGACGGCCTCCCTGCCATTTTCTGGTTCATGATGAACAAGGGAAAGTTGTTCTCTTCAACTAGAAAGATAGCCCTGACTATTATCAACTTGGCCATTCTTGGAATTGCTTGTACTATTGTATGTTTTGTCTCTCTGTGTGATTCTGAATTTCCTGCTGACAAGAATAGTGTGGATTGGGACTCTATGTCTCGGGCGTGGCTATCAACGAGAGCTCGTCCAATGCCAGCTGGACCTGTGCCAACAATGCCACCTAGACTCAGTTATTACCACGGTGGATATATGACATGTTTCTGGTGTTGAAAATGGTTGCTTTATATATTTGCTCTGGGAAGTAAATATACTGGTGTTAAATTTTACACATATACTTTGCATGCTACAGGTGTTGCTCAATGTCTAAAGGGCTTTTATCACTTGAAAATACAAGATGAGTTCTCACCAAACATAGTATCACATTCTTCTCTTGTACAAATTAATCTATAAGACGTCGTCCCCTCTAAACTCCCGCCGAACACTGATGTCATCACTGGTGCACTATTACTAATTGTGCTTTCCACCGTGGGGAGGCTTGCCACTGTGCTTCGCCTCTGACAAGCCCAGGCATTCCGCCATGTTGAAAAATATGTCAATCGAGCTGTAAACACCTCCAAACAGCTCCTGACACGGGCCACGGGCAAAGACTGGCACATCCGTCAAAGAGTGGACTCCCTGTCCTGCATCAAGGGGAAGAGTTCCATTGACCATGAAGCCACTCACGGCATCCTTGTAGTTGGCAACGTATCCCTTCTTCGTGTCCTTTGTAGCAGGAGTACGGGGACCCTCGCTGTGAACCCGGTAATCCTCGCGGTGATCAGGGAAAGTAACAACACCCGCTTGCAGGGTGTATCGGGGGTCCCATTGGGCAGGGAAGTGGACGCCTTCGGAGTACCGCAAGGCATTGGATCCGGCGACGGTGTATTGCGACAAGCCGGAGTTCTCATAGTATCCGACCGCATTGCGCTTGCTGCGGTCGTCCTCCTGCGCCTCCATGTACTGCGTGTCGACGGATCCGGTCACGTCGAAACCGTGGCCGTGGTCAGCTGTGACGATGATGAGGGTGTCTTCGAGCTGGCCAAGCTTCTCGAGTTTCTCGATTGTTGCGCGCACGGTATCGTCGAGCTCGAGCAGCTCGCCTAGGGACCGGTCATAGTCCAGAGTGTGCATCTGCTTGTCGATGCTGGCGGCCTCGGCCATCAGGAACCAACCATCCTTGCGGTGTCGCTTGTGGAGCACGTCGATTGCCTTGAGGGTCATGTCCTTGAGTCCGGGGAGATCATCAGCGTCGCGGTCTGAACCGTCGGGGTAGTTGCTCTGGTTGTAGAGGTTGGACTGGTAGACGTTGCGATCGAGCCAAGTAGCGAGATTGGATTTCTGGAAAACACCCAGCAGCTTCTCGTTGCTTGGGGCGCTGTGCAGCGCTGTGTTGTTCCAGGCTACGTTGTAACCCTTCTCGGCGAACAGCTTGTAGTAGTCACGCGTTTCCTCGCTCTCGAGGAAATCCTCTGCACCGGCACCAAGGAGCACATCGGGACCATCCCAGTTTGTCCACTCGTACTTGGTCAGACCTTCGTAGTATGAGCCGATGACATGGTCGTATTCGCCACGGTCGCTAGTGTGAGCAGCAAGACCGGCAGGAGTAGCATCTGCCAAAAAGGCAGTTGACACAATGCCAATACCGGAACCGGGGTGCTGGCGACGGAAGATCTCTGCGATTGTCTCGAATTTCGGGTCATCGAAAGCGTCGCTGGAGGAGTCCACATAGACACCCAAAGCATTGACGGTAGTCTTGTGACCGGTGTAAAGGGCCGTTGCGGAGTTGGCCGAATCAGTAATGAAAGAGTCCATGGAGTGTGTCATCTGGTGACCCAGCACAGGGAACTTGTCCAATGCCATCTTTGTCATGTATTTGCCGTTGATACTGCGGTGGGCAATGAGACGTGCTGCAGTAATCATGTTGGTGGTCATGCCGTCTCCGATGAACATAACGACGTTCTTCGCGCGTCTCTTGGTAGGAAGATCACGAACAAACCAGTTGGCGACTGTCTTCTGCTTTCCGTAGTAGGTCAGAGTAGCCTCGTATTCGCCGGGCTCATAAAGGGCGATTCTCCTGTAGATTTTCGAGGTCACATTGACAAGGGAAGGCGTGTCTGCGTCCTGTGCGAATAGATCTGTTCCAGTTAGCTTAGGCGTTCCCCGAGAGCTGAATATAGGAAGTCATTACCTTCATACCATGTGAAGTTCCACTTTTCCAACTGGGGTTCATCAATCTTGAAGTACTTTGCTGCAGTGACAGCAGATTTACCCTTCTCCTTTCCATTGCCCTTCTTGGCGATGGTGAAGGTGAAGTTCTCGTCTGGCGATCCAACACGAGCTTCAGACCCATTGACGGGGGAGTGTACTTCGAGACGGATGTCGAAGTACTGACCCGCTAGGAAGTCGACCCTGCAAATAGTAATAAGTGGCTAGAGCTTAGGTACAATTGAGACGTTACATACTGATCAGGTGGGAAGATACATCCCAAGTCAGGGCAACCACCCAACCGCTGGAAGGTCTGGGCTGCCGCGAACGAGACAAAACATGCCAGCGCGGAGATAGAAGAGGCGCGCATCTTGATAAGCCGATTGTGATGAAACGTAGATATTCACATTTGGAGAGAAAACACCTCCGTTAAATACAAGAACTCCGCAGCTGATTGCAAGCAAACCCTCCTGCCAAGAATCTCCTGCCAAGACAATCTATAGTGGTATAGACACAAATCTCCGAAGTATCCCAGTCCCTTGATAAAGTACTATTGCTACATCGTACATTTCTTTATGGGGACGAATAGGAGACAAGCACGATCTGCACGTGCGTAATCCTGGAGTTTACCTGGGAAGCTTGAACCTCCTTGCCAAGTTGAGGGAACGGAATGCCAAGCCAATCCAGCCAACCCCAGTCGTCCGCCAAGCTTCGAGGGCTTGGCAGACTCTCGCACGTGGGATGGATGGGAGATGCGGTGGAATCACGTTCTCTTTACTGAAGGCCGTTCATACGCCTGGGTCATTTCCTATGATTGGATATATATCAAATCGAGAAAAGGTAATCCTAAGCGCTCGGCTGAAATGTCCAATGTGAGATGAAAATCAATAGACAACGTAGAAAATGAGAATAGATAGCGCAACATGGTGTCGTATAGTGCGTCTACAATCTCATGCTATCGTATCATTGGCCCTGTAACTTCAGCTAGTTCTCATCTCCGATTCGCACCACCCTTTTTTCATATAGAGGGTGGGGGACCTCGGCTCTCGCTTGGGATAAACAAACTGCGCCCTTGGATCCCAGCGAGGTCGTACGATCCTTATCTAGAAGCTGTAAAGCTATCCGAGTGCCAAAAGAGCCTGAGTACCACATATTCTAGCACGTGCCCCTATCATCATCGTCGGGCTCGTTGATACACCTGAGGATTTTACTGCATTGGCCCGGACTCCGGCTCATCGATTAGACCAAAGCTCTGCTCACCAGATTACCTAAGAATACACGTGATAATCATGTCACATGATGGGCCGGTGAACTTAGCTTCCAATTATTGATTGCGGAGCGAAGCGAAGCAATTAAATCATAACCTCGTGTGCAGCTCCAGAATCATAAGAAGCTATGCGGTGGAAAGTCATCGGCTAACTTTGGCAGAATAACCCAACCGGCAGAGATCGACTAGGCTTAATCTGGCTAGACGATAATTTCTTTCAATACCATTTCAAAACCTTACCTTTACCGCCTTCTCAATCAGTTCCCACGGTTCATAATAACCCTCATTTCTGCCAGTTTTTCAAGAATCAAGATGTCAACTCTCAAATCTTTTTGGGGGAAATTGATGAAAATGAGATAAAACGGTGAAAACTAACAATTTTTCTTCGAGGCTAGCCCGCCTATAGATAGTACCTTACGCAGGATAAAAGCTCTACAGAGGGTGCCTGGCCTGTGATGACCCGGAATGTAACTAAGTGACTTACTTTACTAATTCTAAACCAGCCCTAAGCAATTAAATCACTAACTTATGGTGTAGACTAAGAAAGAATGGGTCGTTTATCCTGATGAGAAGTGGTGCCGTTATCCTAGATGTCTACATCAAGTGAGTTTAGTTTGAAACGATTGACGACCACTTGAAGTAGTTTGGAACTAATTCTCCTTTACTCTAGACTACCTTCACCAATACCAATGGGATTAAGCACCATATTGTACGGAAACAAATGACTAGTAATGGCGATATCATGACGTGGAGTGCTGGTGGTTCTCCCTCTCTGGCTTCGCTCCAGGTGGCAAATGGTAAGTAAACTCGAAGATTAGATCTGATCTAGCTTCTGACTAGTTTAGACGATTTCCACGAGCTGATACGGATTCAGTATAAACAAATTCATACAGTTTAAGAGGAACACCGTCCTGCCCTACCTTTAAAGCGCAATGGCGAAGTAAGTATTGCCCTGAACTAGTCCTGACCTAGTTCCTGATTTCTGAATAGTTTAATGGAACTGAAATGCGTCGTCAGCTCCATCAGATGGGTCATACTGGTGCCTGCGTGTCGTGCGAAGCTGAATTTGCCACCATAGGTAAGTTCCCCCTACCGCTAACCCTTTTCAAACTAGTCCATATCTAATTTATAACTAATTTAGCTTGCTGTACTCACGCTCGTCGGGATCAGTGTGATTACTTTGAGTATTTCTCTGATGAGGGGATATTGCGGAAGATAAGTTCAAAGAACTGATCCTGACCCAGTTTTGACTACCTTGACCTCGGGGCTTTATATCTTCTGGTGTATGACCTCCCAATTAGATCGAACTGCTTGCAGTCAGCAAAAATGGCCCCAAGGCGTGATTCCATAATATTAGCAGGGAAGCCCTAGAGTCTATAAATAGACACAACATATCTTGCTTTTTTTATGGTATTAACCTTAGGGCTTTGAAATCAAAATGGACAATGAATCGACTACTTTTATCGGATGCTCAAGATGACTGCTAGTATTGGACAAAGAAACACCTCTTTCAACGCTTATTGTACTAACCAAGCTGTGCTATGAACAATTATACGATGTAAGAATATTTTGATAATATAGAGTTTTCATTATCAGTCTTTGAATGAATATACTGAAATCCGACTTGAAACATGGAACATACATCCTCATAGTTTAAATTTAGCCCTTTGATTTTCACGATTCTCTCAAGTTCATCTCTTTCTCTATTGTCTGATTGATCCCAGTTCAAAGAAAGCCGGTCCAAAGCACAGAATCTATAAGTTCTCATAATTTCCACCAAGTTTGCCTTTTGATTAACGACACTTGACACCGACAAAGTACTAATGCCCCTTCAAGGTCTTGGACTGATATCGCCTTTTTTACAGCAATCTTCATACCAGTCCAAGGTTGGAATTTCTAACCTCTCTCAAATGCTATCTCCAACTCTCAAATACGGCAGTCGACAAGCCCTTGGCCGGCTACTACAGCAATGGATCGAAAGCCCAGAATCTGACTCGTCGGGGGGAATATGTCCGATTCTGCCTTCTAAACTAAAATTCAAAGACCTCAAGAAGTGCAAGAAACTTGAAATAGATATACAGATGCATCCTTATCTTCCAATTCAGATTGAATACGAATTTGAACAACATGGAATAATGGGACCAACCGGCGGGGCGTGGGACATGGTCTCCATAGAAGAACCTGACGCTCCACGAGACCCTGAATACCCGCACGTTCATACCTGGAAAGGACAAATTGCGCCTGGGGTACTAATGATTGAGGAAATAAAGAAAATACCCGGTTTCTTTATGTCGGAAGTCTGCCAGGCCATTTACCAGAACTACTTCCCGATTGATAGCTTGAAGTATATCTATATGATCGACGTTTGCAATAAAGACACTCGTTCGTTTGCTATAAATGAGCTCTATACCGAAGCCAATGGCTATACTTGGGAAAAAGATACGATTAATTGCATACCTGGAACCCCGGAATTCGAGGCGCTGCTAGGGACAAAACTTGGACGAACTGTGGCACATTTGGTTCTGGGGGCCTTCAAACGTGGAACTCGTCGGATTTCACAAATTAAGGTCTTTGATAACTTTGAAGCTTTGCAGTTGGAGTTTTCCATTGTTCCGACTGATGCCCCGGCTCAAAGCTCTTCGACTCGTAGTACAAGGTCAAAAACGCGCCGCGAGCAAAGCATCGAATCGAGGAAGCGCAAAAGAGACTCGAGTGAAGAGCCTGCGAAGAAGAGACTGAAGCGCGAAAAGTGAAGAGGCGATTTTTCTTAGGAGTTGGATGTTTACTATTGGGCCATAGGTTCTTGTTCGTCTTTGTTCATCAGGTCACTTTATATATCTAGAGGTTTTATGCTCTTGTAACGCTGTGTAACTATTCTAAATATGATTCAACTGTTCTTCATATGGCAATGTATAATGAGCTTACATGTTAGTTCTTCTTTTAGGGTCATCTGATTACCTTGGGCAGCCCCTTCCCCTTTCAGATCCCAACTTCCCAGTTTCAAACAACAACTCATCAATTTACCAAGTCTAGGACAGCCACGGAGTATTCTTTTATTCTCCTTCTAATTCCCATTTCTTTGCTGATCACAGGGTAGCTGAATGGTCCAATATCGGCTCTTTGTTCCGCCGAGTCGGCGGATTTACCGCACTATACTCAAAGCTCCTTCCATCGAGACTTAACAGAATCTTTCTTTTTTGAAGACTAGGCTCTTGAATTATAGTATCTTATGAGCCCAATATCTTCCGACCGAATCAAAGCAATCCATGCATCTTCGCCCCTCATGGCTTCCTTGTCGTTGGGGCTTGGGATTGCAGTGACCAAATCCTGTAAGTAGCCAATGAGAGATCCCTGAAGTTGACAAACATAATGTCTGACGCACTTAACTTAGTTGGCATTGCTATATGGACTGCCATCATTACTCCATTCCGTGGCCAAAAAGGGGGCGGTACAGCCTACAAGCATATTGCCCTGTCTTTTCGCGCACCCTCTTTCGAAATGCATCCGTGGAGCAGCTTCAGTGAGTTGAAATGTTATCCTAGGATAGAAACATATCTTCAAAGTCCCTGGTCTGACAAAGAAACAATTCTCACAACGCCTTGCAGGCTTATTTGGGGGGGGGGGGGGGGGGGGGGGGGGGGGGGGGGGGGGGGGGGGGGGGGGGGGGGGGGGGGGGGGGGGGGGGGGGGGGGGGGGGGGGGGGGGG